CGTCAACGGACACATTTTCCAGGCCAAGCGTTTCAATCGGGTGAGTATCCACCATCCCACCCAAATCCCAAATTCTAATCGGTTTTCCCCTCTCTTCTTGATTGCAGCGTGCTTTCTGTGCCTATTGCCAGGATCGTATCTGGGGCCTGGGACGACAGGGTTTCAAGTGCATACAATGCAAGCTGCTGGTGCACAAAAAGTGCCACAAGCTGGTGCAGAAGCACTGCACCGACCAGCCAGAGCCATTGGTCAAGGAGCGGGCCGAGGAGTCGAGCGACCCGATGCCGGTGCCATTGCCCCCGCTGCCGTACGAGGCCATGGGCGGCAGCTCGGACGCCTGCGAGACGCACGATCATGCGCACATCGTGGCCCCGCCACCGCCCGATGATCCCCTGGAGCCGGGCACCCAGCGCCAGTACTCGCTGAACGACTTCGAGCTGATACGCGTCATCGGCCGTGGAAGCTACGCCAAGGTGCTAATGGTGGAGCTGCGGCGCACGCGTCGCATCTACGCCATGAAGGTGATCAAGAAGGCCCTGGTGACCGACGACGAGGACATCGACTGGGTGCAGACGGAGAAGCATGTGTTCGAGACGGCGTCAAACCACCCGTTCTTGGTGGGACTGCATTCGTGCTTCCAGACGCCGTCGCGCCTCTTCTTCGTCATTGAGTTCGTGCGGGGCGGCGACCTGATGTACCACATGCAGCGCCAGCGGCGGCTGCCCGAGGAGCACGCCCGCTTCTATGCGGCGGAGATAAGTCTGGCCCTGAACTTCCTCCACGAAAAGGGCATCATCTATCGCGATCTGAAGCTGGACAACGTGCTGCTCGACCACGAGGGGCACATCAAGCTTACCGACTACGGCATGTGCAAGGAAGGCATTCGCTCGGGCGACACAACCTCCACGTTCTGCGGCACACCCAACTACATTGCCCCAGAGATTCTGCGAGGCGAGGACTACGGCTTCTCCGTCGACTGGTGGGCACTGGGCGTCTTGCTCTATGAGATGCTGGCCGGACGCAGTCCGTTCGACTTGGCCGGTGCCTCTGAGAATCCCGATCAGGTGAGTTTTTCCCCAACTCAAACTTAAACTGAAACTGCAACTAAGAATGTGATATGTGTTTGCCCAGAACACGGAGGATTATCTGTTCCAAGTGATTCTGGAGAAGACCATTCGTATACCGCGCTCCTTGAGCGTTCGGGCCGCCTCTGTCCTGAAAGGTTTCCTCAACAAGAATCCCGCTGATCGTTTGGGCTGCCATCGGGAGTCCGCCTTCATGGATATCGTCAGCCATCCGTTCTTCAAGAATATGGATTGGGAATTGGTAAGTGCAACGAGATTCACCCCTTTCTTCTTCCTGCTGTGTCTGTGTATGGGCTTATAGAATTGTTTGTGATGATGATAATGTCCCGAGGGAATGGTTTGAATCGGATTTATAGGGTATGCTTTACAGCAGGCTAGAGGCTAGAGACGTGAGATAGCGCAATCTCCCACCTCAGGAACGAACGCCAACTGTAATAGCCTTCCCGATTGACCCTGGGCAATAGGTCTAGGCCAAGTAAAACGTAACCCAATCGAACCTATGACTCCACCTCCACCTGGTATTGAATCTAGTCGGAGATAAGCTCGCTGATAGCCAACTAACGCAACTGCAACGCAATCATTATAGAGTATTATTCTTGTTTTGTTTTACCTTCGGTTCGCTGATGATATCTGTATATAAAAGCATTTCTTTTTGATTATTACACACGCATGAAATGACGTGTACGAAGATTGCACAGAAGGAGGTGCAACCGCCTTACATACCGAACCTGGATCCTGGCGATCCCTATGTGACAACAAATTTCGATGCTCAATTTACGCGAGAACCGCCCGAACTAACGCCCGACGATCCGTAAGTTAAATCGAGAATCCCCCGACGACAAGATGGATAGCGTTTTTTTTGTTGTTAGTTTTTGTTTGTCCTTTGCATGAGATACTGCCACTGCAAGATCGTTTTTAGCCTCCAAACTAAGACTAACCCAGCAGGTAATTGTGCGTATCAATCAGCCACATATCGACCATGCCCTGTCTATTACTCCTATTAACCGAACAGACCTCGTTTTCATAGACAGTATGTTGTACAATCTTATCATCGTCATGATCATGCTCAAACGACACGGACATGAATGAGAAAAACTCGGTTTTATGTTTGCCAATTGGCTGGCAGTTTTCCTTATGGTTTACCAACAAAAATTCATTATGATTTTCTACTATCCTCATGCGACGATCCATCCTCCATCACGCAGCTTGAGCGCAAGCAGGTCACGCCACCATTCAAGCCACGCTTAGACTCAGATCGCGACTTGGCCAACTTCCCGCCCGAGTTCACTGGCGAGGCCGTGCAGCTGACCCCGGATGATGAGTAAGTTGAGAGATCTATCTATCTATCTCCCCCGTACCCTTCCCCGTCCCCTTTGGTTACTTCATTAGCTTGTTGCACCATGCCTTTTGATGATTCTAATATGCTCCCCTTTCAACCCCATTCCTCAGTCATGTCATTGACAACATTGATCAGTCGGAGTTCGAGGGCTTTGAGTATGTGAATCCGTTGCTGATGTCCCTGGAGGATTGCGTCTGACACCACGAAACGTGTGACTTACATCCGTACAATGTAAGGGTGAGTATTTGTAGCTAAACTTTTTATTGAATTTGCATAACAATGTTACGCCATGTTGCTATACAGCTATATGGCGAGGACTCCAGTGATTACGATTCTGTGGCAGATGATTTGAGTCTCTTGCATTTGAACAGCGCAGGAGCGACTGTGGCGGTGACTGGGGGTGGCTCGGTCAATGCCAATAACAATCTAAGCCAGCAGCAACATTATCGCCAGCAACAGCAACAGAAACAACAGCAATATCATCCTCATTCAGTATACTCACAGCAACAACAGCAGCAGCAGCAGCAACAGCAGATCTTGCAACTTCAACAGCAGCAGCAGCAGCAACAGCAGCAACATCATCATCATAATGGTAATAATATCAATCATAATAATCAAATGCAAGCAAATAATAACAAAAGTCTACTGCAGCACATGTTTTGCCTTCCATTGAACTAATTAAAATAACGAATTAGATAAAGCAACATGCAACAACAATGAGCAACACAGCAACAACAACTAGCAGAGCAACTAAAAAGAAAAAGCAAAAGCAATAGCAAAAGCAAAACAAAACAAAAACAAATTTAAACTTAATAGAAACTAAACGAAAATGGCACAACTAACAAAATTATATAATCTTCTTAACAGCAGATACCATTTTTCGTAAAAATCTATATTACATATATGAGACAAAGAAGAAGCAAAGCAAAAAGTCACAAGTTGCGAGTATTACACAAAACAAACGATTACTTTACTACTTAAGCACTTAGGCAGCCCCGACTCCATGCAACAAAAAAACACTTTCATAACTCAATGCAAGACTTTTCAGCCAGAAACCCTGCGGAGGCGACTCCCAGGCGTATCCCAAGAAACCATTTTTAAGCTACATCAAATATATACATACATATATGGTATAATTTTTAAACGTTTAACAGCAACAAAAGACATTTCAATGTTAATTTTACTAGGAAGTGTGCGCAGAGAGGGGACACACTTCAAATGAATCAATCTATGTATATCGTATAAGAATATAAAACTCTAATGTAAAATGTGTGTGTGTCTAGCGTTAGAGAGCATGGTTTTTAAAAGCGACAAGCTCGTAAATATGTACGAGTATTGTGAACAGAAATAGTTAACCGAAAGCAAAAAGAACATTTTGATTCCGCACAGAGAAGAGTGCCCCCCGATGCCCCGTCGGGGGGCACTATTCTCGTACCACACGAACAAAAAAATATATTTATTTATTGTATTCCTTGTATTATTTATTTTTATAACAAGCAAAATCCGTCTACTGGCAATATTTCTTTGTTAGGTATTAAAAAAAATTCTTTTATGTTTTTTTTTCAATGCATTCCACTGTACTTACAACAACAACAACAGTTTATATATATATATATATACTATATATATGTATTTGTTAATTTTTTGAGCCTATTAGGAGGTACAATTTTTTTCGTGGCGATACAATTTGCCGCAAAAATAATCAAAATGCTGATATTTTTTGTTCAATCTGTTGCGTCAATCATTGCGTACGTTTTTTAAACTTAAGCCTAAATATATACATTAGTAGATATTAAATAAAAATTGTATATTATGTTTTGATAAATCACATAAATATTGAGAACTTTATTCAAATTAATACGTATCCAAAACAAAAATATCATTGTGTTGCAAAGAGTAAAGATTGGGTTTTGAATTGCAAGAAACTAAATCAATTTCAATGTTACTTGTTAATGTATGGAAAACAAAAGATACTACACATATATTGTTATATTTCCAGATACAACGCAATCAAAAGCAAATAATATTGATCAAACCAAGTTTTTGATTCAGCAATTATCCATAATAGCAAGCAATCCACTCGAATGCAACAAATCGACAAACACTAAACCACTTACGAATTGCACTTTAATGTTAAAATGAAGCCTATTAAAAGGAGAGCAGAGCCCTTCCTTCCCCTCTAGTTTCCCTTTTGTGTTTGATATCCAAGATCTACGAGTACGTTGACCTAGGTTTAAATGTTTTCAACTGAGCGTATACTATATGTATGTAATTGTATCTTCTTCAACTGATGTTTCCGACTGTTTTGTTTCTTATTTATTGATTGATGCTAGCAAAATGTCAAAACGAAATTGAGAACGTAAGCATTATTTGCGTAACAATTATCCATATAAACAAAAACGAATAAAGTATTGTATAAGAAAGAGAAATTGTCTTGATTCTTTAGCATTTAACCTGTTTAATTGTTCAGTAGATATATCCTTATTCTTAATCAGAGAAAGCTGATTAAGAGTGGCTCCCACCCTTTCGTTTCACAACAAATCTGTTTTAATTTTTCAGTATTTATTTATTAACAATTGACAGTGAGAAAAAAATCAACAAATGCAAAACATTATCGTATTGTATCGTATCGCATCGATTCATGGATCAATTATTCTGCAGTATGGAGACGGGCTCTTGCATAATCTCCTGAATCTTTGCCTCTGGCACGGGCACTCCGTTGGCCAGCAGAGTGTGAACAATGCCATCATGTTTATTGCCACTTGAGCGTGCCTGCAGCACGAATTCCGTGTCCTGCAGCATGAACTTGGTGTCCGTGCCGCCGTGAACGAAAACAGACTGTGAAATGGGGGAATGCTTAGGGGAACCTCTCGTCTCTTGCCACACCTTTCACCTACCTCCTCCTCGCGCAGGTCATCGTTCACGTACAGACTCAGCGTGTCCAGCTTGAGCATTATTCGATACTCCTGGGCGGGTGTTTCGGAGGTGCTCGAAGAGTGGCCAGTGCTGAGCCAGAGCCGGTACTGACGTGTGACGTCCTCTGTGTACTGGTCGTGCGACTTGCCGTCGATGTACAGGGAGTACTCGTACTTGAAGCCAGGTGCTGGATCAACGCGTATAATGCAGCGGGACTGATCGATGTGAAAGGTGTCCTCACCGACCAGCTTGAACATCCAGTCGCGTCGCAGGACCTCCTGCAATGAGTTATGACAGTGCTCAGTGGGGGATAAAATGTAATCCACTTAAAAACAAAAACAAAAAAATGTTAATTCTATTTTCCGGGTTACGAATGCGAGCACAACAGTAATTACATGGCCATACACTATGCAAATACTTCACCCCACTCCCGTTTCCAGCTGGGGGTGGAAAGACGAAAACTTACCCGACCATTGACCCAAATCATGCGCCGCCCACTAGTTGTGCCATGTTCCAGCTCGATGCGGTACATCTAGGTAGCAAAGAAAGCACTATAGTATATATGTTTTATAGTTTTAAGTCGAGGTGTCGGGTGTTGGGTGCCTTGGTACCTTGCCATTGATGGGGACACACCATTGGGCCACTATATTCTGTTTGTTGTAGCGCTGGTCCTCGGGCACATGATCCTGTGTCATGATGGGCTGCGTGGCCAGATTCTCTAAGCGCAGTGTGGGCGACAGAAAAGACATTGACTCGATCCAACTCGTTCCCGCCCCCCTACTCTAAACCGCCGGGGAAGTAAAATAATCAATAGCGCCCATTAAAATTCAAGTAATTGCATTTAAAGTGCAACCAAAAAACTGGGGTTATACAACCGCCAGGAGCCTTGTCTTGTCAAAAGTTCAAAGAACTTTAAGGGATTGGGCTACGCAAAATCTAGATCTAGCTAGTTTCGTTTTACGGGTCAACAGCGATTGCTCCTTGCCTTCTTCTTGGGCCGACGAAGTAGACGCGATTTGGTTGGCTTTTGAATAAAGCCCGAAACTGCCACAAAACCGCAAGAACGAACCGCACGTTGGTAGCGTCAATGGCACACTAAACAACATACAATATAAGCCAAAAGGAGGAACTGAGGAAAAACTAGTTGGCCGCCTGCCTTTTGGCTTTGGGCTCTTGGCTCTTGGCTTTTGGTCGAGTCGAATCGCGTCGCGGTCGCGTTTGTCGGCCTTTGCTGCTTCTGCTGCTGGAAAAGCAAAAGAAAAGTGCAGAGAGCTGAGAACTGAGTACAGTAGAGCCAGCAGACGACGCCGTATGGCGCCAAAACAGAGTTGATTTGTTGCCCCTAGCCCTGGGTGTGTGTATCCACTCCTCAATACCCCCCCACTTGCGTCGTTGTTCGCATAAAAATAAACTTTGCGCCAAGTATGCAATGGTTTTTGCATTGCAATTGCCATGCCCATGCCCATCCCATGCCCTGAGCCGTGCTTCTGGAGAAGCTCCAATTGAGCGAATATACCCCTATGTACGAGTATGTACATATTTTATTCTAGATGACAATTATATGGCCCAGGGGGATACATTTCCACTCAGTCGTCCTCCTGCCCTATAGCCCAGGCCCCCAGGCCAGGGGGGCAATCGTCGCAAATTTGTCGCATTTTGTTTTGTTCCCATGTTTATGGCGCAACATTTTTTGGCCATAAATACACGCCGGCAATGCTAATGACTGATAGGATGGGGTAGGCAGGGTCAGGGCACGCGAGGGTTCGGAGGGAGGGAGAACTGCCACATTCCGTGGCAACAGCAGCAGCAGCAGACGAAGTGAAAGATGAGTTGGTGCCTCTGGCTGGCATTTCAATCGACCAGATCCGATATTGATAAATGTATTTGGGCCAGATTGTATAGGGAACCGAAAAGAAACTGGCAGCACATCATATGTCAAATCGAGTTGCTCGAAATCTATTCTCTGAACCAAGGGTTCACAGTGGGGTAACAAAAACATATGCCATCTCCCCGTCAGAGTCGCAACACGCGAAGGTCACTGGCAAAGCGCCGTTTGGAGTCGCTCGCTGTTGTAGTTGGATGTTAACGCTATCCAACGGCGCTGGTGGAGGGGGCGGGGTGTATGTGTATGTGGCAACAGCAAAAAGACACCAACCCACACAGATAACGAAACATTTGACAAGGACAAGGCCCGACACCCACCAGAGCACCACATTCTATCATCCCGGAGCTCAAAGTGTCCGTGTGTGTCGGTGCCTCCTTCTCTCCCTCTCTCTCTCTCTGTTTGTGTGTGTGTAATTATTATTATTAGTGATATATAAAAGAAATGTGTATGTATGCACACAGTCATCCTTTTTCCTGGCGCCCGCCAACGGCTTCTTCGACTCGATGCACAGTGGGTGCCGACAGAGATTTTTGGAGTAAAATCTATGGATATCAGTCGTCGATAGGGAGATGAAGACTTGCTGCAAAAGAGATCTTCCGACAAGGTTTGCTTATTGGATACTTTGGTGGTAATTAGTTTCCTTGAAAGATAAGTATCTTTATTATTAGTTCAGATAGTTGAAGTATTGGCCCAGCGAATAGTCTGCCAAAGTATCAGTCATTTATCCTATCCGATCACACTGTACAATATTCGGTTGCGCTTTTTCGTTGCCTACTTTCCAGTTGAATTTACCACCGCGCTGTTTGCACAGTTTTTATGCAAATATATTCTCCAAAAGTGCCGCAACAGACAACATTCGTTGACGCTGATGATGTTGTTGTGGGCTGGGCACGTGGGGATTAGTGGTGTCCATACCCCAACCCGGAGTCCACTGCCGGATAGCGTGCCTCGCTGGGTGTCGGGCTGGCTGGCACACAACAAATGTCGCCAACAATTAATTTCCATAGATAATTGCCTGTCGATAACGACAGCGGCAGCCCGGGGACATTAATCATTAGGCCCGGCTGTTGAGTAGCTGGTTGTGTTCTTGGTCTTTTCCGGCTCTGTTGTCTGCCGGCGGCTCGATAAGATTTAATCAAAACTATGGCGAAATGACAAAGTGAAAGTTGTATTTCAGTGATTTGTTGTAACGCTCTTAAATCAAATTGAATTGGCAAAATGTGTGCGCTGGCTTAAGTTAGCTAGATTTTTATGCATGTATGTGTGTGTGGTGCGGGGTGTGGAGGTGTGTGGTGTTCTATATACTAGATAAATTGAATGAATATAGGAGTGCAGTGCTCAACTTTGAATAACCAGCTACAATAGAACATAATACTGATCACAACGCCAATAGAATAGAACAATAGAATAGAATTCGCTCACTCGCTACTTTCGTTTCGTTAACAATTTTCCGCGGAAAATAATGGTTGGTTCGATACATTTCTCTGAATTGGACAATAAATACGGAGTATGCGTATGTGTAAATATATATATATATCGAATTTATATTGCTGCACCATAACAACTAACATAAACAGCAACTATCCTTTGTTCGTAATCAATCGAGTAATTCGTCTATACATATACTTAATTTTGGGGCACAAATTTGAACAACGCTGGGCGTAGAGTAGGCGCTAGTTGTAGGTATTTTTTGTCTGATTATCGTGTCTATATACTTGTTAATGTGCGTATATATACCTATAATCGACGCTAATTGCACTATTTCAATAAATACGAGTATTTAGTGCCGTCCGTGCCTCCCAGCTTGAGATACAAATGCGTTATACATTTTAGCTAGTTATTTCCGCTATGGGATCGAAGAAGTTCTAAATGTCTATAATTCATAATTGACACAACTAAATATTGCCTTTGCTGATCGCTTACATAACTATTTACAAAAAATACTGAGTAGCTTAAATTAGTTTTGGATAAATCAAAGCAAATACAGTCATTTAAAGTAACAAATTCATAGAACCAAATTCGGAATCAAGCTTAAGTGTAAAATGAAATGATGAGTATACCACGTTACAGACTATAAATACAAATATCATCCATATCATGAGGTTCTTCATCTAGTTGTCGAGTAGTTACTTCATCTAGGTATGTGGAAAATGGCAGTTTGGATGCACCTATCTATCAAATATGAAAAGCTTAGGCTCTGTTAGCTGGCAACAGTTTTCTATGACTGATCTGTGGATAGCCAGGGCGGAAGAGGGCGCGATTTATCAACTAACATTATGGTAGATCCAAGCGGTTTGATCCTATATCGGCGGCTATTTAGCTCATTTGAAAAATGCTGTAGAAAAATGCACAAAAAGTCTTCGGTCTCGTGATGGGAATCGGTTTGGGCTTAGAAACAAATGGTCCATCATTTTCTTGACAACATTATGTTCATGACAGTGCCGCTGTTAAGCAGCACCCGTTTGGCATCCTTTAGATTGGCATTGGTCAGGTCGTAGCCGTCTATCTCAAGCAACTTGTCGTTGAGGCTCAACAGGCGAGCGGCGTTTGTATTGGGCGTAACGGCACTCACAAAGATGCCAACCTAAAAAAGGCAACAATTAGAGTTCATTTCATCACGTAAACAGAATTGGCATGAAAATACTCACGTGATTGAGCAGCTCAGCTACTTCAAAGCCCATGCTGTTCTCCCATTTGAGGGTAACCTGCTTGACCGTCGGATTCTTGTGGACGCCAAAGATCCAGGTTGACTTTTTGTGACTTGCTCTGGAAGTGTTGTTGGTGGCCGTGGAGTTCATCGAGTGCTGCGACAAGCTATCATCCAGCTCTTCCTCTTCGTCCTCGGGGCTCTGCTCCAGATTGCTAACATTGTTTTGGTAGTCCAGCTGTTCGATGGGCTCTTCTTCCTGGGCACCGATCGCCGTGGTCTTAAAGTTGCTATTCAGAGCATCCTGATAGATCGTTTGCTCCATCTGCAGCTGCTGCTGCTGTTGCTTGCGCTGTCTCATGGACTCGTAGAGATTAAGATCCTCTGGCGTTTTCTTGGTATATACTCTAGCTATATGGTAGGGTGGCGGCTCTAATCGAGGTGGCGGCACTGCCTGCTGCTGCTGCTGTGGCTGCAAGGGCTGCAATTCGTATTCCTGGTCACCGTTCAGATGTGTGGTGGGTAAGGTGTTGGCCTCGACGTACAACTGCTGATAGTGCGCCTCGTAGTTGACCAGGGGCAGGCCGTAGTACTCTTGTGTAGGAACCGGAAGCTGCTGCGTCGTAGCCGGCTGCTGATAGACACCGTAGATGTGAGCGTTCTCCGGCGCAACGCCGTATATTGCACTTGCCGCGGCCTGATCCACAACATCTTGCTCGGCATTGGTATGGTCGGTATCACAGTGAACTTGGCCATTGGGCACTACGCGGGCCTCCCTCACCTCATTGGCGTTTGCCGACGTCGCTGCTGCCTGGGCTTGCCTAACGTATTTCGCCATTTGGCGCAGCTCCTTGGGATACGGAGTGGGCGATCGCATCAATCGAACCGACCCCGCCATCTGGTCCGGCGTTGGCGTTGGCGGTGCAGCTACGTAGCTGGGATAACTGGGCGCCGGCTGCGTTTTGGCATTGCTCAATATGGTGGCCTCCTCGGCAAAGCAGATGCGCCGCGAAGGACTCGCATGCGGATGCTGCTGATTGGCGTACACAAACTCGTACTGCTCTTGGGCCTGCTGCTGGGCCTGCATACTGTTCATCTTGAAGGTGACCTGGGGCAGCATGAAGCAGGTCAACTGTGTCTTTGTACTGGCATCCAAGTATTGCAGAGGCACCAGGGGCTGCGACTGATTGTCGCTTAGCCACAGTGAGGTGAGATTCACTAGGTTCAGCATGGAGACGGGCAGCGCATTAATATAGTTGTTGACCACGTTGATGACCTTCAGCTTTCCCAGGTTTCCGATGTTTTGGGGCAGCGCTGACAACTGATTGTTGGCCATACTCAAGACACTCAGCTGCTGGCAGCTGCAAAGCTCGTCGGGCAACTGGCGGAGCTGATTCTCATCGGCGAAGAGAAACCGCAGACTTCGCAGCATTCCAATGGTGCTGGGCAGGCGGATCAACTTGTTGTGGCTGAGGACCAGCTCCTCCAGCTGCTCCAAGTAGCTGATGCTATCGGGAAGCTCTGTCAGCCCGTTCGACTCGCACTTGAACGTCACCAGAGATTTTAGCATGCCGACGCTGAAGGGGAATGCTTCCAGGTTGTTGGAGCAAATTGAAAGAACTTCCACATTTCGCCAGTTGCTCAGCTCGCTGGGCAGTGTGTCCAGAAGATTGCCGTTGGCCTCAAAGTGCTGGAGTTCGCGCAGTTTACCAATGTTGGCGGACACGCGGCGAATTTGATTGAAGTCGATCCACAGCTCTCGCAATGATTTCAGCTCTCCAACGACTTCGGGCTGCAAATTGATTGAAATTTAAGTGACTCTTAATTATCATATTCTGTGCTTCACTCACAAGCTCTGTGAACTCATTGCCTCCAATGTCCAGTCGCTGAAGATTCACTAGCCGCACCATAGACTTGGGCAGCGTGATGAGATTGTTGAGACGTAGCTCGAGAATCCTCAGATTGACCAGCCGTCCAAAGTTGGCTGGAAGAAACTCCAGGTACGTTTCGTTCAACAGCAGCTCCTGCAGGGATATGAGCGAGGTAACTGCATCTGGAAGACGTTGTAGGCTGTTGCAACTCAGATCCAGTCGGGTTAAATGCTTGCAGGCCTTGATTTCATCGGGTACATTTACAATCACTGAAAGGACACAAGGATCCATGAGCATCTTTTAGCAGATATAGAGTTCTCATTCTCACTCACGATTCCGATTGAGATCCAAATTCTGTAGCTGGCGCAGACTGCCAATAGCCTGGGGAATGCTCTCCAGATTGTTGCTGTTCACATGGAGCACACGTAGGCCCTGGCAGTAAAACAACTGCGGTGGCAAAGATTGCAGCTGAAGAAGGCAAAAGGAACGTTAGCAGGAAGCAGTCTCCAACAAAGTGGCTCCGGACTCACCCGGGTGGTGCTCAGGTAGAGCTCCTCCAGCGTCCGCTCGTGCTGCCAGACCTCGGGGAAGTCGGTGAGCGGTGTATTGCTATAGTCCAGCTTGTCAATCACCTCCTCGTGCTTGAATTTGAAGCAAGGAAAGCATTTGCTCAGGAGCGGCATCTTTAGTTGTACATATGTATATTGCTAGTCGTTCGATATTAAGGCACGGTTCGGGTGGCTGCAAAGGAAGAAGAGCAACTGTCAGATATGTATGTACACACCACATGCATATATGGTGCGGTAAAGCAGGCTGGCCTAATGGGGTCGAGCCGAGGGCTTGGCGCATAGCTCACCTATGATTCATCGCCGAAGTTGGAGCATTACTGTGGGTCCTGCTCCATTACATTCCAAAGCCATTGACATTCTTCTCTTTTCTCGGCTTGTTATTGTTCTGTCCACCAACACTAACATGCACACACACACCCACACTGGCATACACAAAAGAGACTTCTTAAGCCTCTCTTTGTTGCTCTTGTGCAGGCACCTGGCTATGCTTGTGGTTTCCCCTAAACTTTCATACTAATTAAATATTATTCGGTTTTTTTTAAACCATTTATTGCGGTTTTATTTAATGTTTTTCACTTAAAACGGCAAGCAGTGTGACCGAAATATACCGAAACATACCATCTCATTTAAAAAATATACCGTAAATATACTGACGAATTCAAGTTCTTATAACATATTCATCGTTTTTGATATTCCATCGAATATTACTAGCTATATAGAACATTTAGCCATGCCCATATAATTTTATACGATTAATGAATAAATATTCTACAAGATTGGTTAGTTTTTATTTGTTGCTTTTATTGTATTTTGACTAAAACAAGGTTTAAACAAAATAGCTCAACAAAAAATCAGTTGCAATGTTGCTGGTAGTTAAAGACATGATGCGTAGCAACATTTGTGCATGGAATTAGCAACATTTGTGCATGGAATGGGACTCATTGTTGCAATAGCGAAACTGCGGCGAATCGGGTATTGCCTATATTTCAAGCTATATAGATTTGCCCACTTAGCTTTATCCCATAGATAAATGCATTTTCTACAAGATTGCTTCTTTTAATTACCTTAATATATTTTATTTTGACCAAAAAACGGTTTTCAAGTAAATGTGGCCGCAACTTTTGTGTATGGAATGCGCAACATTTGTGTATGGAATGAGACTCATTGTTGCTAAAGCGAACTGGGGCGAACTGCGGCGAACTGCGGCGAATTCAAATTTTCTCATATTTTTTGTTCCGTTGAATAATACTCTTTATATAGAACATTTAGCCATGCCCACTCAATTTTGTACGATTGACGAATCAATTCTTTACATGATTGGCCTATTCGAAATACTTGCATTTATTGGATTTCTGTATAACATTGAAAATTAAATTAATAGATTGATGAAATTGACAAAAATACCATGGGAGCGCGGCGAAAATCAGTATTTCTACAGTATGACCCTCAGAACAGCACCGAAATATACGGTCTCATTTGAAAAATATACCGTAAATATATTGATTATAAAATTGATATCGATTCTGTTATTATCGCTGGCTTAGTTCAGAAGTTGACAAATAGATGTCGCCAGAAAGTAGCCGTTTGGCTTCAAAAAAACAAAGCCAAAACAACAAAAAAAAACGTAGTTTTAAAAACGCAGTGCATTTGCTAACAAAATGTTGTACCATTTGCTAATTTAATATTTGTTTTCCACTTCCTGGCTGCGTGCGCGTGTGCTCACTTTTGATAACGAAGGTGTGTAAACTTGGCAATAAAGTAAGCAACCAATCAGGGAAAAAAGGCATTTTCGAAGTTTCAAAGTACAAATAGGTTTATGCGAATACCGAATAGCCGCCAATTAAAGGCCTGCCCGATGCCCCATCCCACAATAAACTTTGACCGGTCAGTGTCGTCAGGTTTTCATGTGTCGTTGTGAGAAAATTGTACAAATAACGGCCACTTTGTTGTTAATTTTTGTATTTTTTTTTGTTTTTGTGTCGTTGAAGCATTGACGAATTTACACTTCAGACAATTGTTAAACTATACAGCATAGTGCAAATAGCTACGTAATAAACCACTGACAGGCCAGCTATTTGCAAGAGAAAACATTGTGCGAGACAGTGTGGATCGGTAAATGAAGGTGGAGATTGGAGATCTCTCAGTTTCGGTTTAAAAGCTGTACGCTGCAGTTGATTCCCTTTCCGCCGGATAAGTCGTTGTGAGTGGATATGGATCGGATTGTGAATGGATTATGGTTCCGTATTGCCCCGAAATGTTGATTAAAGTGCGTCCCACTAAGGTTTTTAGATACATACACTATAATGCCGTTTATTGTTTAAATTGGATCCAATGCCCACTGCTGTTTTTCCCACAGTTTACCTAGTGGATTCGCCTTGTTAGTTAATCCCCCATAACGGTTCGATTTACATGAAAAATTAACAAACATCTGCTATGGCTTTCACAACCAATTATCACCGTTCCGCGGCATTCTGTATATACCACACGTATCTTTAATATAGTTCTCGTAGGACGTCATATACAATTAAAACCACCTGTCGGTGTCCATTTCATTGAAATAACTATTCTATGATTCACACTGGCACACGCACCATAAAAACGATAGCGATACGGAAACGGGTAGTACAACCCCCAAGCCGAATCCACCCCCACTTGGGCGGACATACATACGTACATATATCAGGCTCTCCCTGGGCTCTTGTCAGGGCAGGTTCATCCCCAGTTAGAAAGAGAGCAGTGTAAGAGAGCGAATCGGTTGGATATCGGTTTTTATTGCATCTTTTGTGTAATTCTAATGAGTCTTCAATAATATCTTCTGGGACTTTTTCTCCCACAGAAGATCTTGATTAATTTTGATTTGAACACCACTACTTCTTCGTGCCCTTGCCCTTCTTAGAGCCCTTCGACTGCTTCACTGGTGACGTCTCCGATGCTGATGCAGTGGAGGTGGCCAGTGCCGGATCGGTACTGGGGGCTTTCTCTTGGGCCCCCTTTTTGGAGCTCTTGGCCGAATCTTTCTTCTTGGACGGCATGCTGCAATGGATAGACTATGAATTTTCGCGTTGTAACAATAGTTATTTTTGAATTTTTATACCTTCAATTAATTTTGAAAAATGCAAAACAAAAGTTTGTTTTCGTAGAACCGATAGCACAAAAATTGATGCGTAGCTCTCGGAATTTGGGGAAGAACTGATTTTACAAATGCTAATGATTATGCTTCTTAGAAACATACTAATTCAGGATTGCTTTGTTTTTGATTTTCTTTTGAATCCGAACCGTTTCGTGAATCGGTTGACGACTCAAATTAATTCAACCGCCGCCCTCATTTGGCGCCTGCCACGGGGGGCTGCTACTCTCCAGCCTTGCGCAGTGGGACTTCTGCTCTCCCACTCTCTCTCTCTCTCTCTATGTGTTTCCGGGTCCGTGCGACCAATGCTTTCATTTTCCTGCATTTGTGAAAACGAAGCCAAAGAGCGTGCACCAAGACCTAGGGCCGCCAAAGTTTTCTAGTGCAATTTCTGTTTAAGTAATTTTAGTTATTAGTGCAAAAGTACAACTAATTCATAAGCAATCATAGGCGCACAATACCTAATAGATAAATCATTTTACAATACAAACAAGCAGGCGACGGTTATTCCGACATCACGCTACGTCGAATAAAACATAATATCGATTTTGGGCTCACGTGAAAGCCGGATAGCGTTTTCAAAACTCCGACGGGCTGTGCGACTTGTGTCTAAAAGTATTATAAATAAACTACGCCAAGTGCAATAAACTTGAAAAGAGAATAATGGCAGCCAAACGGAATAATGTCACCACAGACGTGCCGGAATCATCTGTGGCGCCGGCCGAAGGAACCGCCCTCACCCTGGACACACGCGTTTCGCTTCGCGTGGATAGTGTCATACCCAAAAAGCGGTGAGTCCATTGTTCATACTGGAATACCCTTACAGGGGATACGATGCCTGTGCCTGTGTACATACAGGCATTATTCTTGTTTATATATAAAATGCCTACTCTATAGCCATGTTCGTCTGTCTGTTTCCATGCGTGTCTAAAATATATCTTTCTGAATTTTTGTACAGAAATTGTAAGGCAAAATACGGGGCCTGAGCTGTTACCAATAATTAAATGTAGCATACAAAAAATGTCCGATTTGTTGGCTCTTCTTCGAGAATTCGACTATTTTAGACTAGCTTCCAGGGAATTTCCATATTTCTTACCAATAATTACTGATTCTTGATCCATATTATTTTTTCCTAAAACAGACAAGAAACGTTGAAGTGGTTTGGCTGGGGCTACAACGACTCGCAGTTCTATGGCCAGGATGGCATCATCTGTTTTCGTGGTGACAAGTGAGTATCCATGGCAAAGGTAGTAGACTCGATTCTGAGCTGTTTAATCTCTCTGCAATAGATACCCCTTGGGTGGATGCGAATTGCGGAACTTTACCAAATGGGTGGAGAAAAAATTCGAGCTTACTGTGGACCCCAGCAAGCCGTATCCCCAGCTGCCGCAGACGTATCCAAGACCCGTGGAGAATGCGCCCTTTCTGACCGAGCTGCGGGGCAGCACCAAGGTGGAGCACTCGCTAGAAGGAATTGACCGTCTGATTCGATGCCACGGCCAGACCCTGAACGACATCTACAGCCTGTGGCACAACAAATTCCATCGCATACCCGACATAGTGGTGTGGCCACATTGCCACGACGAGGTGGTCCAGCTGGTGCGTCTGGCCCACAAGCACAATGTGATGATGGTGCCCTACGGCGGGGGCACGAGTGTATCTGGAGCAATCACCTGTCCGCAGGAGGAGAAGCGAACGATTTGTGCCTTGGATACGTCCCAGATGAATCGGCTGCTGTGGCTCAACCGGGAAAACCTAACCGTCTGCTTTGAAGCGGGCATTGTGGGCCAGGATCTGGAAAGGGTCCTGCGCGAGCAGGGACTCACGGTAGGCCACGAGCCCGACTCCTACGAGTTCAGCACCCTCGGCGGCTGGGTGGCCACCCGGGCCTCGGGCATGAAGAAGAACGTCTACGGCAACATCGAAGATCTCGTGGTGCGGGTGCGCATGGTGACCCCGACCGGAACCCTGGAGCGTGAGTGCAGTGCCCCACGCGTGAGCTGCGGCCCGGACTTTAATCACGTCATCCTCGGATCGGAGGGAACGCTGGGTGTGATCACGGAGGTGGTGTTGAAGGTGCGTCCCCTGCCAGTGGTCAAGCGCTACGGCTCGCTTGCCTTTCCCAACTTCGAGCAGGGAGTGCTTTTCATGCGGGAGGTGGCCCTACGCCGCTGCCAGCCCGCCTCCGTCCGGCTGATGGACAACGAGCAGTTCATGTTCGGCCAGGCCCTCAAGCCGGAGAAGAGCTGGTGGACCAGTCTGGTGGATGGACTGAAGCAGCGCTATGTCACCGCCTGGAAGGGCATCGACCTCAGCGAGATCTGTGCCGCCACCCTGCTCTTCGAGGGTGACCTCAAGGATGTGAAGCGGCAGGAAGCCATCATTTACGAGATCGCAGCAAAGTTCAAGGGCTTTCCTGCTGGCGGACAGAACGGCGAACGTGGCTACATACTGACCTTTGTGATTGCCTATATCAGGGTGAGCCACAAGCAGTCCCTATTTAATCTTCGTTCCCGAAAGACTTAAGCAATTTCCGGTTTCTCCGTAGGATTTTGGCCTGCATCAGGGAATTGTGGCGGAATCATTTGAGACGTCGGTGCCTTGGGATCGTTGCAGTCTGCTCTGTCGATCTGTCAAGCAGCGTGTGGTATCGGTAAGCACATGTCATATCTGTTATGCAGACTGTTCTTAATTCATTCGTTGTCTATGCCATCCAGGAATGCCACAAGCGTCGAATTACGTTCTACACGATATCGTGTCGGGTGACCCAGACCTACGATGCCGGGGCCTGCATCTACTTCTACTTTGGCTTTCGCTGCGTGGACGTGGCCAATCCCGTGGCGCTTTTCGAGGCCATCGAGCACAGTGCCCGCGATGAGATCCTCTCCTGCGGTGGCTCGTTGTCCCACCACCACGGTGTGGGCAAGATCCGTAGTAACTGGTATCGCAAGGCGGTCACCGATACGGGCAGCTCCCTGTACTCGGCGACCAAGCGGCATCTAGATCCGAAGAATATCTTTGCTTTGGGCAATCTGCTGCCGCTGGAGGAGGATATACAGAAGGCAGCAGCATCATCGCCAGCATCACCAGCATCACCACCGAAAGCCAAACTTTAGAGAATTGTTCGTAGAGTTGTGTCCTTAGTCCTTAGTCCTTAGTCCTTGTACTATTCTGAATCCCATCACTGATTTCCTATTAGCTTTTGTGGTTTGTGTTATTTTTGTAACGGGCTCATGTTTTCAATGGGTTTTTATAAATAAATGGAATATTTGTAACTTGTAGATCGGGTGCACTGGGAGAAACTACAAATTCTCCTCTCACAAGATGCGTCTGCAGAGATTGTCATTGATAAATGTCGTTTTTACCAGTGCAGGCTCTGCAGGAGAGGCTCACTTAAGCCAGTTCCAGACATGGCCAATCCCCACGTGTGTGTGCGTGTCGGGGCCTCAGACCAAATTCAAATTGTCGATCATTGTCTTCTCATCTGCTCATCGAAGTCATTTGCGGCTGACGGAGCAGCGTCCGCGCCAGGAGATCAAATGACATCAAGTTGTCAACTTCGTTAGCATGCCACAAGGCACAGGCAAGCAGGCAGCAAGCGGCAAGCAGCATTCAGCATCTCCCTCTTGGCGCACTCCTTGGAACATGGCTAATGGGAATGTGGCAGGCAGGCAGGCAGGCAGGCAAGCAGGCAGGCAGCTGCTTATTGATGGTCGGAGAGGAGTCGTCGTCGACTGTCTGGGCTTGTTACCCCGGCCAGTGGGTATCCATGTCCATGTGCATGGCCCCTAAGCGCCTTTTGGACACGCAAATACACACATACGTACTATACATGGGAGGACTATAAATAAAGATTACAATCAACCAAAAGTTGGCCAAAAGGAGTCCCGTCTAAGCCACGGGACAGCCGCCTGGAAATTGTCAGCAATTAACCCGCGGGTCAGTCGCAGTCGCATTCGCAGTCCTTCCTGCCGTGATTTATGCCCCCAAGCAGCCTTAAAGTCACACACAATCCAGGCAGGCCAAGAGAGAGTACGATAGAGGGATGGAGGGAGAGAGCAGATAAATGCCATCCTGACACATTCTCAGAGAATAAAACAAAGTTGGATGCGGCCTGATGGATTTGCTACCTAAGTGGAAGAGGGAGGGAGATGTGCATACCTCATTTGCATGGAGTGATCTGCAGAGAGAGGGAGGAAGAGATCAGTTCTGTTGCATGCAAGGTGTATTTAAACAAGGTGAGGCAGTCAAGAGTTTGGCATACGCCCAGAGAAATGTATTAGACAAAAAGGCAAACAATTAAATAACTCAGTCGATTCGCGAGAGCACTCTCTGGAAATGCCTTACCTTCTGTTAACACACTTTGTATGCAATGAAGAAATTCCGAAGAGAACACAATGCCTTGCTCTTACCAACAACAACAACAACAACAACAGCAGCAGCGTTTAAGCCAAGCTAACCCATTAAAGCCGTCTGCCCACGCTCGGCTGACGTCGCCGTCGCCGTCGCTGCCTTGGTTTCCGTTGCCTCGGCAGCGGGCCGAGTCGCACCTGGCGCTCAGTCGCAACTTTGGCGACCGAGCAACAACATCACGTCGCAGGAAACGAACCACTCGCGTGACAGTTCCACAGAAGTTGTAGTTTTCATTAGAACTGTTCTGCGAGAGAGAGAGAGAGAGAGAGCGAGAGAGCGTGCAGTAAGTGTGAGAGCAACTCCGAAAGAAAGAGATCTCCTCCCAGCTTCAGTCGGCGGCACCACTTCTCTTGTTCGTGCTGCATTTGCTCTTCGTATGTATGTGTTGCCTGCAACATCGTGGCGCGGCTTTCGATTTCCTATTACTGTTTTTGATGTTGCATTCGTCTGTAAACGTGCGTGCGTGTGTGTGTGTGTGTGTTGTGTTGTGGGAAAAATGCAACAAATTATATGGCCGCTGGTTTTTGTGTTTTTTGTTAATTAAAAACGTTTTGTCGCTTGTAATTGAGCCTCTAATGGGCCGCAAAAACAGTGAAACAGGTGCGTGAGCATCAGCCAAAACGAGTCCACGCTAAAGCGAGTCAATAAAGAAAAAACAAACAGAAAACATAGCAAATAAAACCATTAAAAGTGCATTAGAAACATGATCAACCTTTCCACCACGTCCCAGAGATAGAGAGAGAGAGACAGACATTCTAACTGCCTTTCATCAGTCAACCCATCAGTCAGGCACTCATTCACTTTGCCAGTTTTAATGCACCTGCCATGACTCGTCATAAGCCAGAGATGCCCCTTAATGCGTCTCGAACTCTCGAGCGAACCGGCCTTTGGAGTCATTAAAAAGAAACAATTTCGCACTAAAAATTCAACCCACATGGGTCGGGTCGCTCGAGTGTTTTATAAGAGTATCCAACCATAAACCAAGCTCAAAAAGAGCATAATAATAAAATCAGGCAAAAGGCAGAGACATTTGGTTGGGGCTTTGCTTTTGACCAATTTAAGTTTTCGTGGCTGCAACGCCAACGCAAAATTCTCAGTTGCGATATTTGGTTTATGAGTTCTTTGCGGCTTGTGTGGGCTTATTGGGGAAGGCTTTAAATTTGGGCTTAGTACTGGTGGCCTTGGAATGCCTCAGAGGAAACCGCTTTTGGGAGGATTTGTGGATTTTGAATGCATATCAGTTGGAAATTCCTCAAAATATTCCAACAGACAGAATTCCCATGCTCAGAGAAGAGCATTCTCATATATCGCCCCCAACTGCTTTGTAACTCTAGAAATTCCAAGAATAACCATCCGTGAGCGGGCAATATCAAATCTACCCATTCCCCCTCACTTTTTGCATACTTGTACGCGTCATGACAACTCTGGACAGGGATTATAGAAACGTGTCTTTAATGTATCCCATAGATGTTTGAACTGCTCATCAGTTTGACGTTGAACAAATGTTAGCCTGCACGTTCAGCATAAATGAGGCATTAAGCCACAATTGCCAATGAACCCCAACAACAGAATCGGAGGCAAGTGCAGTCAAGGCGGGCTTAATTAACATGCAACTGGCAACGTTCCCGTCAGCAACAACAACAACCTAACGACAACAACACGTTGGAAAAAAGTGCAATCCCAAGCTATCAAAAAGCGAAAAAAGGTTTCCCTTTTGGTTTTTTGCGCTGTGTGTTTTGGCTAGAAGGTGACGAAGACGTCGAGCAGTCTTTGTTTTGCCCATCACAAGACTAATGATGCTGGGGCCGCATGCAAGGCCTTCGCCCTGCAGCTGTTAATTAAACAGAGGAAGAGGAGGAAGAACTGCAGCATCCAAAAGCAATTACGGTAGCAGAGGCAGAGATACAGTGGCAGAGACAGCGGCAGCGGCAGTAGAAGCAACAATCATCAACGGCAGACGCAACAGCAACAAATAAAGCAACATGTAAGTACACACAAACACACAAAATTATGGGAGTTAAGATTTCTAGAATTCCTAGATTCCAATGAAATCGTCCCTTTCCTTCTTGAGCTCCATGGAATAGGTCTAGCCACCCCTTTTGCTGAGTGCCTCAGAGTGCTGCTGCCTCTGGACTTTCTTTCAGGCTGCTGCCAAAGCAGGAGCTGTGACAAAAGCAGCAGCAGCGGCAGCAACAGTAGCAGCCTCCCCATCGACTTTCTAAGCCAGTTGCCAATTTGGTGCATTTCGCCGATTTGGCAAGAGTCAGGAAAACTGGCCAAACCTAAAACAGGCAACAGGCAACAGGCTACTGGCAACAGGCAACTGGCAACTGGCAGTGCAAACAGCCATGGACAGTGGCTGTCGTCAATTGTTTACCGGGTCCCCGCCACTGAGAAGACGACTGCAGACCGAAGACCGGGGACCAAAGATTGCAGACGCCAGACAAAGATGCAGTCGTAGTCCCAGGTCCACGTCGAAGTCGAAGACTGGGTCGCGTGTTTGACACAAATGCCGCGAATAGTTTTGAAGGCGGTTTGGCCTCACTGCGACTTATGGTCAAAACCACCGCTGACTTGTGCAAACAAGAAGTGTGTGTCCGTCCGTCTGTCTGGGTGTGTACTTATCTGTGTGCCGGCTGCGACTTCCTGTGACTCTGCTGATTGCGTTTTAATAAGCCGCGGCGAGTAGCTCCGAGATACTTTTCAGCGGACCAATGTTGCATGTTTGCTTAAAGTAGCCGCTCAGCAGACGCCCAAAGAACCAATAATCAGGCAACGACAAGAGCACGCAAAGTATGCCATGGGGCCTGGGCATTTGACTCGCGTGCCACTCCTGGTGGGTCACCATGGGTTAAAGTTGCTCGTGTTGGCCCCCAGGCTATCTGCCCACAGAAATCTCTTTTCGATTGTCTTTTTTCATTCATTGAACTCGAGGCGTATTTAATGAATACTTCCAATCTCATAAGAGATGGTCTTGAAGGCTGCTGGAATAAAATACCTTTCTTTGTCCACAGATTTATCTTCTATTCTTTGAAAATTCCTAAACTACATGCTTGGATATGCATCAATAATTACCAGTGAAGTACGAATTGTTTAGAGCTAATCAATAAAAAAACAAAGCTTTGGATAATAGTTCTACAAAATCGAAAATCCATAAATTCCTTGCTGATGGATTAATGAAACCTTTTGAGGCCATCATTAGGTCTGCATAATACAATAATCGCTGTATCCGTAGATCGATCACCGAGCCCAATGGAAACAATGGGAAAACTTTTATTGTCCAGCAGCAACAATTTCCATTTATCTGGCCATTGTGCGGCGGCAACGGCGGCGGCGGCGGCGGCTTTGAAGCCAAGATCCATGGAATCGGGCTTGTGGTTGTTCCGACTCCCGCTTGGGGCATTCGTATTTGCCATTTGGCAATTTGTCGTTGAAATACGGCAAGTGTTCGAGTGTCGGACGGACTGAGATGCCAGGCATGCTCGTAAGTGGCCAAGTATCTTTTATCCATAAGCCGGGCTACACTGTTGCAGCGGCGCATTGCCTAAGATCGATTGATTTCGGTTCGTAATAGGCTTAAAGTGGTTGGGAAATGCAGCCGCTTGAAGTCCATTGAAGTCCATTCATAAGCCGTTGGCCACGCCTCGTTATGGTGACCCTCAGACACATGAACTTGGTTAATAAAATAAGCAAACAAATAAAAGCGAGCTCAAAAAACAACACGCACTCAACAAGACAGCCAATAAATGTCCGACAGTGCAAAAAGGCCATAATAATAAACGTAAATAGACACACAAAAAAGCCACCGACTTAATGCTAACAAATTTGAGGCAACAACAGCTGCTGCAGCAGCAACAGCAGCAGCAAG